TGCATTTGTCTGACAGGGAGGGGACGGCTGCAGCTAACACCTAGCGAATAGAGACCAGTGATATTGGTAAACATCCTGAATTGCAAGAAATTCTCCCACAAAAAGGAATTCTCTGATCAAAATGTCAACAAAGGAAGGTTAAGAAGGCCTGGTCTACAATAATCAAGTTGCTCAAGTAATTTGTATAAGGAAGAGTTGATCACCTCCAAAACTGATTACAGAGAAATGAGAAAAATATAGAGAAGCACTCATTTTAATTTTCATTTTAATCCAAATAAATAATGCCTTTTTTGCATAAAAGTGGATTATTATTTTAGTGTTCTTTAGTTTTATAATTACTTCATACATCATTCTTATTCTTTGAGGGAAAGACCCATTTTAACTAAAATAAATTTTAAAAACATCAAATAATTCAGGATTGAAAGCTTTATTTGTGGTCTGTTTTTATCTAAAACAGGTCATGAACACCATCTCATAAAGACATGGGGAGCTTCTTTGTGGAATGAAAATAATCTTGTAGCCCATCTGCCTAGGGGTGTTAGCCTAAGGCAGTTGCTATAGCAAATATCTGTGTTTTATAAATACCAGAGAGTAACACAAGTGGTCAAAGTGAGAACAGACTTGATTAAATGCAGACTGAGTGACCTTTAAAGATTATTTCATTGCTTCTGGACAGTGGTCTGGGTTATTGTGGACAAATAACTACTCAATATACATGTGTGGTACTTGGGCCTCCTTCTATCCAAGGCCAGGAAAGGACATTGTGTCAGCCAGTATTCCTGCTGGCCAGCCACATTGAAGATGGAGAATTCACAGTGAACACTAGAAGCACAGCAGGATCATTTGTGCTCAGTTCCATTTTTATGGGTGAGTGTAGTGACATATTGATCATCCCAAATTACTTTTTCTCCCTGCAAGCATGAATACTCATGGTATCTGACACATAAAAAAACTCACAAAAACATGCAGTATAAAATGCATGCATGCTGTTATTTAAGCAAACTATAAAGGGGGTAAGTTCTGGGCCTCCCTGGTGGCACAGGGGTTAAGCATCGTAATATGGAGCAATCCGCAGCCTCTGCAATACAAGTCTGATCCCCAGCTGGTCAGGAGCTACCCACATGGCACAGCAGACCTGTCCTGACTCACCCGCTGCTCCCCTCAGCAGTGTATTTCAGTCAATCTTTCTGTTCTGTTCCCCACTCTGTCTGTGGTGAATCCTCTCACGTCCCCCCACACCTCTTAAAAAAAATAAATAAATAAATTTCAGTCTTCCTCAGGGAACTTTGCATGAATGTTTGCAACAAACTACTCATTTTTGCCTATCTATAAATATGTTGTAGCCCAAAGTAGCCCTTTCTTATTCTCCAATAGTAAAAACTTACATTATTTTAATGTGGGAGGATCGAACTAATTTACATTAAGGTATAAATGACGGATGTATACTGGAATGCACTAAAACATCAGGAACTATTTATATTTTTAAATGATCAAAAGAAATGTCTAACTAGTAAACATCAGGCAAATAACAGGGTGTTTCCCTCACATCTCTTGATTCACAGATTATAAGCGATTCCAAAACTGGATCACAAATTACTACAGATTTCACTTCCCACAATAAATGAGATTTTGCAAACACTGCAATATAGCATATACTATCAGACCTCAGTTCTGAAAACAGGAAAGGAAGTTGGAGGGGAAGAGAGCTGCATTCTAGTGAGCATTCACACTGCTCTAAGAACTGCCTCAGGTATCTGCACGTTATATAAAGTAACCCTCTTAGAAAACTGTACAAGCTAGATCATGTGAGCCCTATTTTAAAATAGGAAATCTGAGATGTATACAATTAAATAACATGTCCCAAATTATATACTAAAGAGAAGAAGCAGGATTTTTTAATTTATTTTTTTTATTTTTATATTCCCCATACAATTGCAACCCCCTGATTTTGACCCCAATCCCTCCTGTCCCCAACCCTCTCCCCCAAAGTGTGTCTCTGGTTCATAGTTATTTGTTGATTTTGAGTTTTTCCTTTCTTATAGTTATTCTTTTTCCTGGTCCCTTATTTAAGTTCTCTAGATTCCTGCTATGAGTGAGACCATCCGGTATTTTTCTTTTTCTTTCTGGCTTATTTCGCTGAGAATGATCCCTTCCAGCTCCAAAGCTTTACCAAATCAAAATTCCATGGTATTTGGATAGACACCTGGTACATTTGTCTGAACAGAAGTAAACACCTACCATATTTTAAATACTTTCTGGACTAAGTGCCCACCATAGTAGCTTTTTTAATTCTCAAAACAGATCTGTGAATAAGATACTATTTTCCCCAAATTAACAAATTCAGAAATTAATGCTCAGTAAGGTGAAGTCCACACAATTGACCAGTGGCAAATCTGGAATGTGAACTAAAGTCAGCCTAAGTGTGGATTCTAATTTACTACAGTTTCCATGTCATTTTTTTGTTTGTTTCATCTAAAAACGAGTGATAATCAAAGACATTAGAACAAACTGTACTTTGAGCAGAATTTTCTTCAATTTGTAGGTTTCTTTCATCCCAAACAGAGGACATTCTATAACCTTGCAAACTAACTATTATACTGTTTACTCCTTAATGAGAAAATCTCTTTTATATCTAGGCTAAATATTTTGGTTCTAAGTCAGTGAAGGATTTATTGGTTTTGTTGTTTGTAATAATGTTTTAGGGCTTGGGGGAAGATGAAGAGGAGACCAAAAAATGACAGAAAAGGACTCTACTAATAAAACACAATTGTGAAAAAGAGAAAAAATAAGCATTCACTTAGAAGTTTTATTTATAGAATGCAAAAACAATCCTAATATTTGAAAACATCCTCTTAATAACTTGAATTTACATTTTCATGAGAAATGTAACTTCTTGCAAAAATAGGCATAATGTCCCAAGTACTCAAGTTTTTAACATATCTCTCAGTGACTTACCATAAAAGGGAATTAAATACCTCCTGTCATGCATTACTCATCACAGCAGAAGTGTCTATATTTAATAGTGCAATATCATGCAGTTTAAATGTACATTTTTATATACACAGACTCCCCTGAAAAGGTCAGTGGGTATGGTATGTGCCCTGGTTGGTCAAGTCTGTAGTCAGATGGGAACAGGGAGCAGAACAAAAAAAAAAAAAAAAAAATCTGTGTTCCCTGAATACAGCATTGTACTTACAAATAATTTCCTGAAGTTCTATTCTACTTTAATGCTTCAGATTAGTGATCAGAAAGCACTTTTCTCAAAGCATAAGTGAAACAGACATCATAATGCAGTTTCCTTTCCAAGTCTGAACACAAGTTATTCAACTGGGATTGTTGCCACAGTTCTCTAAATCACAGAATTGAATGAAATTGCTGTAATGCATCGTTCCTGATGATGATGATGATAACATGACAATAACAAAAACAATGTCCTAATAACATCATGATAGTGTAATAAGGACTAATGAGGGGGCACACTTACGTAAAGTATGTGGCATAAAGTAAATGCTCAATAATGCTAGTTTCCTCCCCAACTTTTAAACCCTCTAGTATGAAGCAATTAAATTCCAAATGATGTGTCTTTGCTGGAATCCAACTTGAAACGTGATTGTATATAGAGGAGACAAAAGACTGAACTGTTTTGTAATGTGGAATAAAAACCTACTTGGACACTGACACTATTCATTTGACTTCAAACAACTCAAGTAAAAAAGTAAAAGAAAGGATAGTGTCTGAAGTAGGATTTCTTGATTCTTATTCCCAAGCAAGATTTAGAAAACTCCAGTATCTCCAGTTTTATGGATGGGTGGCAAAGGTTGACAAACACAACTATAAATCAGAAACATTCTGCAGGGGAGGGGAGGGAGAAGGATCAAAACAAGGGAGGGAAGAGTACAAGGGACTATCGGGCCATAGTGCACTGGTGAACTGGTGGTGGGAATTCTATGTGGACTACACCTGAGAGGAAAAAGCAAACATTGGACAAAAATGAACAATTATGTAAAAATAGATATACAAATAAATAAAGTATATTTTTAAAAATTGACATTTTTCACAAATAATTTAAATTATTTTCACTGAAAAGAAAATACAAAATATTTTGAGAAGACAATGGAGAGAGACTTTCTGTGAAATTGAAAGTGCTGGGCCATTGCTCTAAGATGTTAAGTCTCTAAAATATAAGAAAAAGAAAAGAAAAATGAAATAATTACTCATGTTTATGAAAGACAATTTATAAAATATGTATTACGTGCATATTAACAAAAAGAATCCAAGTGGACTGACTGATATAGATTACTACAGGCACTGTGCCACTTGTCATTTGTTGACAATTGTTCTCTCTTTGCTTTATTTGTTGTTTTACCATTTGTATTTTTAGTATTTTTTTTTTTAATAAAAGACAAAGTCCTGATTTGGAAGTGATATAAATTCAAGGGTCTAAGTCAAAGAGCAATGCTTTGCTGATTCACACCCAGAAGTTGTTTTAGGGTAGACTGAGGATTATAAGCATCTGGGAGAAAGCATTTAAGGGGGAACATTTAACAGCTGTTGGAGCTGAGACAAGAATATCATGTAAACAAGTCAGGGAAATACAACCTATTGTAGATTAAAAAGCACATTTTCTCATCCGCAAATATTATGCTGTTTTGTTTTGGTTGAATTTTTTATATAATCTTAGGAAATAACCAGTACTTTATAATTAAACAATATTTTCTATTAGATCCTTAGGAGTCCAAGCATAGACACAGACCAGCACCACTGGCATCTCCTAAGAGCCTGTGAGAAGTGCAGGATCCAGGACCCCACCCAATGATAATTTTTGAAGTAGGATCCTTTGATTCTTATCCCCAACGTAGGCTTAGAAAACTCTAGGCCTCCAGTTCAATGGGTGGGTGACCAGAAATCAACAAACAGTTCTCCCTTTTAATGAACCCCAAGGATGATTTATACAGCCATTAAATTTTGAGAAGCACTACTGTAAAAAAAAAAAAAAAGAAAAGTAAAATGAAATCCACCAGACTTCCATTTCATTCAAGGTCCCCCTACACATCCAGAGATCCTGTGTGTGGCAGGCTCTGTCCTATAGCTTTACACAGAAATTCTCAGTGCCTCTCACCCTGGCCACACATTAGAATACTTTGGGGAGAATTTTTAAAATAAGAATATCAGGCTCTGCTCCAGATGATATAATTTAATTAGTGTGAGGCAGGGTCTGAGCAAAGGTATTTTTAAAGCTCCCCTGATAAATCAAATTGCAGCCTCAGTCGAAAACAACTGCATTATCCCACTTAATTTTTACCTACAAATATAGAGTATGCTTATTTATAGAGGGACTTGCTCATGATCACAAACCATGGATTTACACTCAGGTCCTTCTGACTTCAAGGACTTGTTCTTGCATTTGAAACATACTAATATGTTGGGGACCTTCATGCCAGTAATTTATTCCAAATTTCCCACTGTGTCATTACTCCAACACCCAAGACTCTGTGAGTAAAACTTCTAAGGGATAGGGAAAAGAGAATGGACTCAAGGACCTTAAGATCAGACATGACTGAGGTTGAAAGATGAAGAGCCATAAAATTGCTTCTCCACAAAAATATATCAGCCCGGTGTTGAACCTATTGAGATTATTCAATGAACTAAGAATGGATTGATGACTCCTCAGGGGGAGGTATAGGTCTAGACACACAATCCCAAAAGAATTAGCACTGGGCATAGAAGAGGTAACTAGGTGTGTTTACAAAATTACACTGGGCAGAACTGGAACATAACCTACCTACCCTTTGTGGACTGCTCTATCACTGCAGACCCATTTACTCCTACAGATCTCCTAAAATCTACTTATTCACATACAGGGTGACCAATCAGAGACTGGTGTGGAATGTTCCCACAGAATCAGGGAGGAAGTGAGTCATGCCATCATGCATCATTTTAGCAAGTCCTGTGTAGATCCTTTTACGCATTCACCATAAAAGGATCCCTATATCACCATCTGTTCATTTTAGGTACAGGAAATATTATAAGACCATTCTTGTTACGTGACTATTCATAGCTTTGAAAATTATTTCTCTGATTTTTAAATATGTACAAATTAATGAGAAGAAATGGACATTTTCTTTTACAAAATATACTTGGAATAGTGTTAAGTCACTCTCTTTGTCAGCTGGCCCAACTCCAGGGACTGACTCTCTCTCAGGGAGCACCGAAAATCCTAGTATAATCCTAAAATGTGGATGTTGACTTTAAAATTCTGATTTATCTGACAGCTGTGTGAAATGGCACATAGAAAACTCCCCACTGGGGATAGTGAAAATGTTAGGAAGTAAGAGTTAAGGAGGAATGGCAACAATATAACCTCACTTGTTTTCCCATTTATATGATCCATTTTTCTGACACAGAAACGCATTATTGTGATACATAAGATGTACTCACATTTATATATGCCTGATTTAAAAGTAAATGTGAATTACACAGACTTAAAAGTCTACCTTCTGGGGAAAAAAACTGACATATAAGGACACCTTGCTTCTGTGCAAGAAACAGCTCTCTCTTTAAATGGTAAATGGCAAGTGTTCTTCTACCTTGGAGCTGTGGATATTCAACCTCAAACCAGCGAAATTTTGAAAGAAAAACAAGAGGAAAATCAGAGTGGTGAAAAGTAAGTTTAAGTAAATAATTGGCTCCTTTTATTTTGAACATAAATTCTTTGTCTACTAACTCCTGACTTCACCCAGTGACACATTAACCAAAAGTCACAAAGTTTTAAAACAGTAAGACTTTAGCATTATCTCAGGAAAAGAGATGTATAAGAAAATAACTGATTTTGCATATATGAGGAAAAACTTTAGGTTGGTTTTAGGGATCCTTTGCTTAAATTTACAGTTCTGAAAAACCTGCTAATTTAAATACATGATCACTTGCCTCAGTGATCTTTTTTCACTGAGCTTAGAGGAGACAACTCCAATTGCAGGATTCTGGAAGAGGTTGTTAAGAGATTCAGTGGTGACACCTGCCTCCTCTCAACAACTCAGAGACACTCTGCCCCCTGGTGGGATGTTCAAGGATGGGTTTTGATAAAAGCTGCAGAATAGCTTCATTTCCACACCCTTCCCATACTAGCCTCTTCCCTTCTGAAAATTACAGTAGGTGCCCCAGTTAAAAGCTTGTGGCCCAACAACTACACATTAATTTGGATCAACAATTTTCTTTCATGTAATATAAAACCCTGTACTATCTAATCAGCTCTCCCACAGCTAAAATGAGGACAATGTTAGAGCAATGCATTCATTATCATTGGCAATCATGGCTTTGCATAGATATTTTTTAAAAAAGCACAGAAGTAGAAAATAAGACAATGGGGAAAGATGTGGATGTGATGAGGAACACTATGGACTCTGGAAAGATAGCTGAAAATCTCCAGATAAAGAAGAAGAAAGAGAAGAACGTGTGATGACAAAAGAGGATACTCTATGAAATAAAATATTTGGCAATTTCCTCTTGGCCCTTAGAGGTCACTGCAAATCACCTCTTGAATTCCTTCTGGCCTTTGGTCTACATGTCACCAGCCTAAGGGAGTAGGTGTGAAAGCTCCAAACCTTCATCATTTCTTGTTTAGCCAAATTTCTCCCATTCAGGCTTGTTTGGTCTTTCTCTATGCACTCTCTCTCAAATTGCCCTCAGTTTTCCAGTGTCACAGCTACATCGCAATTGCAAAGGAGGCAATTGAGAAATAATGACTAAAAAGGAAGTGCCATCTACTGAGAGCCAAAAGTGTATCAGGTGTCTGGATAAGTGCTTCACCTGTAGAGGATCCAAGTCTTTGCACAAACTTAAGTAGGCTACATTGAAGGAAGAACACATCACTATACTGTGCTCTATTGACAATTCAAACCTAGAATTTTTTGTTTTCCTAAAGCTATTGTTCAGTCTGCTTTTCTGGTGTTCAGATAGGTCAGTCTCCCTCTATTAGGTTTCCCACAAGCCTGACTATAATGAGCTTCATTCTTTTTTCTTTGTTCTGTATTGCAAGCACTATATAGTACCTGGCAATCTCACAACCAAGCCTGAAGACTAAGTGTTCTAAGAGTGCTGATCCAGAAAACTCTTAGGATAGTGGACCTGACTTATCATCTTTATAAAACACAACAGCACAATCTGCCTAATTCCTTTTAAATTCTTCCTACAGAATTAAACTAAATCTCTCCAAATTAAGACAGTACATGCCAGGCCACCAGTGTCCTTCATGATCAATTAATCCTCTATTGAAGGCTCAAATTCCTAAATGAAACTTAAAACCCAATGAAACAATCTTTACAAAAAAATGGAATTACTACCCAATGCTTTTTAGAACACAAAAAGAACTTTTATTTCATTATTTTCCCAAATTTCATTTCCAATTACACATTTGTTGAAAGGTGGAGTACGAAAGGCATTTCCAGTCACATAATCTGTAACTTCACCGAAGACACATAATCTAAGATTTTACTTCTTGAGTGAATTATAGTCCTCTCAGGGTTTCTTGGTTAAGGAAGATAAAAGTAAGATAATAGAGAGGAAAAGCGAAGAATACTGTTCTGTAGGAAATTGATTGGACTCAATAATGATTCATTCATGGGTGCAGTGTTCATTCGTAAAAAGGAAACTCTAAAATTCCTAGAAACACAAGACAATATTGGTATTTTGGGATGAGTATACATTCGTCTATTTGTGTGAAAATTTGTGCAATTAAACAATGTGGAAAATGTTATTTGTTACCACGGCCAATGAAAATGTTTTCATTTTTATGTAAGTTAAATATTTCCATCTCCCATTTTATGTTCTGCAAAAAGGCCATATGTCTAGTTTATGAAACAAACTATGCTATCGGCAGCAGTAACTGAAAAGGAGCTTAACAATCTTAACTACATACCCCTGGGATGAATAATACACTTTGCATAATTATGTGCAATGTTGAATGATGATTCTAGATCACTTAAAACTACAAGGGATTGCAAGCTTCTACTTCACAAAATAAACCCAAATCCAACCAATTCAGCCAAATGGTCAAGCAAAAATTAGGTAAGTAATCTATGTAATTCTAATTTACAACCCATTTGACTAAATTGACCATGTTTTGTTAAGATCAGGACACAATCATTGTAGGTGCCCTATAAAGAAATCATTTGTATGAGGCTATTTGTTTCAATTAATTTTCCCCCCTCAGGCTCCTAGAAGCTGACTTAATTGCTGCTTAGGTCCAAAGAAAACACAGCTGCATCAACAAAAGACAAACATATTAATAACATAAAAATAAACACACCGTGCTCTATGCACATTCCTATCAATAGCAAGCTAGAATTCTCCATAGGAGAAATGTCACAAAAAAATGAACAAAGAAACTTAGGGATACAGCCAAAATCTAGGATTATATAATGCTTACAATTTTATCTTACTCCGGTGACAGGTGTAAAAGTTGATCAAAATTCCCTTTTTTACTTAGTTTACAAGTGAACCTTTGAATAGTATATTTTCAAGAGTCATTACCTCAGATTGAAAGTCTGCACAGTAGGCAAGCAGTGTACTTCAGCTCAATACAGCTATTGTCTGACAGTCTAGACTGGGGAGCTGCAGCAGGGAGTGAATCTGTTTTACAAAGACAACTTGCTTTGGCAGACAAAAGGTATCAACTGCAGAAAGCTCTCTGAAGAATGGAGTATGAATCTTCTTTGGCATTTTAAATGTTCCACATATCTATTTTTTTTTCTATGCAAATGATCCTTCAGGGCTACTCTTTTTTATAAATCATTTTTCAACTTTTAGTATGTAATCTTGCCCTGTGTTGGGGGTTTTCAGGGTGAATTTGAGGTAACTAAGTAATTCTGAAATTTAGAGAGATGGATAACTTCAAGTATTTCTGATATTTCATTGAGGTTTCAGGTCAGTAACAAATTTCCCAGGTTCAGGGCTTTGTGATTTTCCTAATTGTCTTGTAAGTCCAAAGTTTACTTCCATGAGTTACAGGAAAACAGACTCACGTTGCACCTTCTCTATACTTTTCTAAAGTCTTTACATGTCATCTTCTAGTAACCTCTGTCCTGCCCAAACGTCAATAGCGAGGGGAAAAAAAAACAAGTTTTTTTTTTCTTTAATAGTTTTTAGGGTTCTTACTATGCTTTGAAGATTGCTGGAGTGTTCCCATGGCCACTTTATATGATAGCACGCAAACAAATTACAGATGGAAAGGAGAGTGCAAATGACTATCATGCATTTAAGATTTTTTACAAGTCATAATATACATCCTCCCATTCTTTAATTTATAGGAATTATTCCTATTTCACCAGTCTCCTTTACATCTCACTGAACTGGATAAGTAATAAAGATACTTTTCTTGTTAAGAAGCAGTATATATCTAATACTCATCAGTTTAATAGAGTGCATTAATAACACATATAGCAGCAGTTTGGGCTGAGTCACCCATCGTATCCTCTATTTATGGGGATTTAAATGCGTAAAGTGACAGGTACATGAAATTAGGAGGAAAAACAAAAGCAATCTGCAGACTTTGGCACTAGCACACAAATGTTTTGTTTGAGTTGTTAGAGATGTGGTTTGACGATTGCTAAATAGGAATAAAAATTACAAATCTGCAGAAAACAAACAATCATAGGTGTTGTTTCTCAGTTTAACATTCCCCATCTCCCATTCCCACCCACCCACCCCATATAATTTCAATTATAATAAAAATAGAGATCTTAACATCATAATTTTGCTGTTAACTCTTCAAGGTTTCTCCATGTCATCCAAGCCACACACATAGGGTTTGAAGCACCAAATCCACAAGTTTTTCCCAATCAAGTTTAAATAAACCAAAACTGAAGACTGAAGGATGCCAAAGTAACTGTTCTTAAATGAAATGTAACACAAAGTCCTCCCCAAAACACCAGGTATTAAGTGTCTAGTTCAAGTACTGCCAGGCTGTATGGAGATGTGCTTCAGGCAGGTTTCAGACAACAAACTACAAGTACCACTGGTTCTAGAGGGCATCATCCATGATACCAAAGCAGGGCTGAATCCCCTTTCCATCAAGGACTTTAAAAAAAAAAAATTGTAACCCCATGGTGATTGGCTGCTGCAGGGTCAGTGCTGAATCAGGGATTTGAGGAGAGGAAATGAGCCTCCTCCTCAGCAGGGAAGCTCTAACTTTAGTCTGAAGTCCTTTCAGAGCTCTCTGGGGCTGTCCTGGCTTCTCAGGATCCGTTGCTCTTGCCCAGAAGAGAAAGCCTCATTTCGACCCAGTAACAGTGAAACAGTGAAAGAAGAGTCAACCTACCTTTGGACCCAACCACAACATGGTCCCCAAAGGGCGTTTAGGTGGCCCCATTGCAAATGACAAGTCAACTTGTGCACTTAAAGCGTATCAGTTTATGGAAGGCTTGTTTGAAATCCTCATTGGACATGGTATAGATGACAGGATTGATGAGGGAGTTGAGATAACCCAGCCACGTGAAGAAGTCAAAGATGGCCAGGTGGAACCAACAGGCCTCCTTGCAGATAGGCATCACCAGGGAGATGATGAAGAAGGGCAGCCAACACACAATAAATGCTCCTAAAATGATGCCCAGGGTCTTGGTGGCTTTGCGCTCCCTAGCGGCCATGAGTTTCTTCTTCTCCAGTAGGGCGTCAGAGACTCGCACCTTGACTTGGTTTACGTACACAGGAGACCCCGATTCGCTGGGCACGTCGGGAGCCCTCGAGTTAATAGAAGTGACCGAGGATGTGGACCCTGGGGAGTCAGTTATCAACTGGGCTCGTGTCAGACGCTTGCCGGTCCTGTTAGGTGTCTGTTTCAAAATCCGGGAGCGGGCTTCCACGTAGATGCGGCCATAGAGGGCGATGAGGAGCAGGGTGGGGAAGTAGAAAGCGCCCACCGTGGAGTAGACTGTGTAGAGGACGTGGTCGGTGTTCACCACGCAGTCTGACACCTCCTCCTCGGCTTTGGCTTGACGCCAGAAGAAGGGCGGCAGCGAGATGGAGATAGAGAAGACCCACACCAGCGCGATCATGACCGCCGCCCTCTTGGGAGTCCTTTTGGCCGAGTACTCCACGGCGTCCGTGATGGCCCAGTAGCGATCCAGGGCGATGACACAGAGGTGCAGGATTGAAGCAGTGCAACAGGTGATGTCCGAAGACAGCCAGAAGTCGCAGACCACCTGGCCCAGCGTCCAGCGGCCAGTGACCGTGTACATGGTGCTGATGGGCATCACCAGGATGGATACAAGCAGGTCGGTGACCGCCAGGGAGGCGATCAGGTAGTTAGCCGGGGTGTGCAGCTTCCGGGTCCGGTACACGGTGGCGATCACAAAAGCATTGGAGAGCGTGGTGGCCAAGGTGATAAGCGCCAGCAGCAAGATCAGTAGTACTTTCCAGGGCAAGGCGATAGAGTCCTGGTAAATGTGGTGGCCCTCGGCACTGCAATTATGGGAGGGAGCAGCGGAGAGGTTGGCCTGAGAAGCCTGGGTCTGGGCGCCCGCGGGCGGCGGCTGGGCGCACTGAGCGCCTGTTTCCTCCATGGCTCTCTCTACCTGCGACCCTGAGCGCAGCTCCTGGGCAAGGAGTTGACCAGGGAGAAAACGGAAAAACCGCAGAGGAAACACAGTCTAGTCCTCCGGTTGTTAATTAGTTCCGCGGTTCCTCAATTACTCCTCCACCCAGACTCCCTGCAGAACCTAGAGGTCAAGGGCGCGGCAGCCCCGGCAGCGGAGCGCGTTCCTCGCACTTCCCGTGCGCCTGGCACCGCCGCTGGGTCTCCGGCAGCTCTCTCCACGCCCGTTCTTAGACTGGGTTTGCTAAGGACGAACCACCGAACCCCAGTCGTCCGAGCTCGCTCCAGGACGTCTAGTGGAGCAGGGGTCTGTATTGTCTGAGGAGGGATCATCAGTCAGGTGGGGTCTCTTACCCCAATTGCTCGGGGCTGAGAGTCTCCTAGCCCGGACGCTCCCAGATCTGCAGACTCGGCCCGCAGGAGTTTCCTAGCTGTCGAGACCAAAGCTTGCAGGCCAGCGAGAAGTCCTGGTCTCGCATTCCCGCCCCCCTCCCCAAGCTGGGGCTGTTTCCTGCGGTGGCTCTGGCCGCCGGAGCTGGGTGGAGTAAAGTCTGGGAGCCGCTCTGCGCCGCGCCTCGCGCCGGAGCTCTGCCCTCCCTTCTTTTCACGCGCTGGCCACTCCGGCGAGCTGCCCCGCGGAGACCAAGCGGTAATAGAGGAGACTCGGAGGTTGGGGCTGCGGCTGCCCGAACCGCGCCACCGCTGCCACCTCGGTCCCGCGGGCACCGCTCGGAGCCATGCTGCTGGGCGCACGGGTCTGGGGGACCTGGCGCCGTACGCCGATAAGGGGCAGGTGTCTGGGGGAGCGGGAGGAAAGCGGCGTGCGCCAGCCCGCGAGGAGCGTGTGAGCAAGAGAGCGGATGGCTCCTTTTATAGAGTCCAGGTCCGGTCCACCCGAGCCGAGCAACTCGTGCGGCGCAGCGAGTGAGGACGCCCGCTCCTCAGCACCTTCCCTTTTTCTCTCTCCCTCCCTCTTTTACTCCCGCCCGGTTCCCTCCCCGGCCAAAGCAGCTCCCGCCGGGTCCTATCGCCCTCTCTCCCAACCTCCCATACCCTGGCCCCTCTCCGGATCCTAACATTCCCGCGACGCAGTTCTGTCCAGGAATGGGGACAAGGGCATCCTATCCTTGCTTCTGCCCTCTTGGAAGTTTGCTGGGCGCCCCTCCAGGTAGACCAACACCTTCGGCCAAGGCACAGTCCCTGCGTTCCTTCCTAGACTCCTACTTATCACCCGTTACCCCCTTCGAGTTAGTACTAGGTGCAGCCAGCCCCAGAATCTGACCTCTCCGTTCTGGAATGTTATCCAGCCTTGTGCGCCACACCCAGGTTAGAAGGCGGTGCCAGTAATATCGCCTTAGAAGGAGACAGACAATAGTGCATTTTATACTTCGGGCTTCAAGTCATACTTAACTCTTGATACAATACAAACTCATTTTTCATATCTGGCTTTAGGAATCTGTTTTTTTTTTTTCTTTTAATTCCTCCCCTTTAACTGAATCAACAGGGGGGAAAAAGTTGTCTGCAAAAATGTAAAAGTATTACAAACAAGTCCATTGTATGTGAAATTAAACCTTCCAGTTCACCCTCCAGCTCCAGCAGCTCAGTATTTCAGTGTTGCTAGAAAATAGTATGCAGTGAGCACATTCTCTCCTAGAAAAGAGGTCATCAGAATCCAAGAGGAAAATGACTCCTGGGCCATCACCAGCAACACCACAAGCGAGTCTCTTCTGCCTACAACAAATGCATCAGGTTACCAGCCATGTGTAGCACCAAGAAATACCAGTACCTAGGTCTCAAGATCCTAGAGCAGATTCTCCATCACTGTTCCTCCCAACCTCAACAGGAAAAATTGTAGGGTAGAAATACAAATCATAAAAAGAACGAGGAAAGGACATTGTATGTTCAGTCCTGTAAGCTAAGTTACTAAAGTGTAGCACAGTGTTGGGCAGGTAGAAAGCATCCAATTAAAAAAAATGCATTGTAATTGAATATATCTGGTTAGTTATACGCGTATTTTAGAGAATTATTCAATCTAGAGGCTCTGGAGATGATCTGGCCATTCTAATTCTGTTTTAGTAGAGTAATCAAGACTCTTTGAAAGACGAGTATTTGAAAGAGACAGTTTGAAAGAAGAGTATAGCCAAAGATGACACAACCCTAACACGTTTCCTTAATTCCCAAATCTGTCCTCAGGCAGACAGGCAAAATAGTGTCATGCCTATTCCGGGAAAAGGATTCTTCTAAACATCAGAGATATAAAAGCCATGGGGTAGACCCAGACCCAGCTTTCAAGCAGTTTACATTCTAAAAGTGGCAGACAGACAATATCCCCATAATCAAGTAAATAATTAACATACTTTCATATAACCTTGTGTAATGATGAAAATAAGGCATATTCATGTATTGAGAGCAAAGGTACTCCTTAACTTAGTAGCAGCTCTCCAAAGATATCCTCTGAAGAGGTTTTGGTCTGGGCTGCAGCTACCACACTGGGGACAAAAGCTCTGGCCCCTAGTGCCCACATGGCTCAGGTAACATTAAGCTTTAAATGCATGGCGTTTTAAACATTCTACCCACACTCACACACTACTCATCCAACCTAAGGTACCTACACTTCTTTATTTTTGCAAACTGCATCTCTGTCTCAGAAACCACAATAGAGGGAAGCAAAGAGGCAAGACAATACCACTAGGTGGGGGCGTTGGCCAGGATGGTGCAAGAGAGTGTGTGGTTGCAGGTGGGGGGTGTGCCAGGAAAGGACTTTTTTGCTATTTTATAGAAGTCAGGTGAGATTAGAGAGAACTATTTAAAGAGATGCCAGGCAGAGGAAGACAGGAAGGAATGTTACCTGCCTTTCCTTTTAAAATCTCTGCTCCTGGAACAAGGGAAGGAGTAAACCCGTTGCACCTCCTAGGGCCTGGCTTTAGGGACTTGGGGACCTGTGTGTGTGTGTGTGTGTGTGTGTGACTGAGTGAGTGAAAGAGAGAGAGAGAGAACACTCAAGAGAGCAAGGAACCTTGAAGTCCCCTCTTTCTGGTTACCCATGAGACAGCAACAGCCTTCAGTAGCACTTGAAAAGAAATCTCTTAAATTTGTAAAAAATACAGCCAACACGGATTCAGCATGAGGCACAGGAGGGAAGAAGTCTGAAAGGGATTAAGATGAGATACCAGAGCACAGAAGTTTTTGCTGGGTGGATACAAGCTCTTGTTTGACCAGGGGTACTTAAACTGCAAATTTATGCGCTCCTTTCATCAGCTCCATGCAGGTAAACTTTCAGCAAAAGCTAAACAGCCTGTGATCAGACTTGAATGCTGTGGTGAGAGGATTCTCCCAGTGAAGAAAAGACTTCCTCCTCTGAGACCTCTTATGCTAGAAAAATACGGGTGCTGAATCAGCAAAATGTGAGGAGCAGGCTATGAAGTTTATGGCACAGAGCTAATTAGATCACATGCTGTGAAGAGAAGACCCCTGCACCTCAATGCAAATGAATGCTAAGCTTTGTTTGGACACCTGCCAGTCCCTGTGAGCTGAGCCAGCCAGCATTCTTGCCTGGGGCACTTGGGTCAAGCTTGCCAAATCCCTAGAGTCTTCCCTACATTTCCCAGAAAGATACTCATAAGAGAGGTCCAGGCACAGTAGCAAAGAAAGTTCTTGCAAGTCTATCTTTGCTTTGCAAAGATACAAAAAAAAAAAAAAAAAAAAAAAAGCAAAGCTAGTATACAGATGCTATATTCACTTTCCAACCTTGATAAAGGAAAATGCAATCTCACACTCTCCCTCCCCAGTCCCTTACTACAGAATATATAGAATTGGCAAGTTACTTCTTGTAAGTTCTCCTTCCTCGGTCTTTGGCCACTATTTTGGCTTTGTTTGTTTGGTTTGGTTTGTTTTAGCTCCTACCCAGAAAAGAGACACCAGAAGACTTTGAGTTCTATATGTCCTTGGATGGAGTAGCAGACTATTTCTAGGTTCCTCTTTTATTTCCTCCACAATTGTTCTTAAAAAAAAATATTATAATGAAAGTACAAGTCTTAAATTAGGTCCTGACTGATGAAACCACAAAAATTTTCAGATAAATAAACACAGACATATGCAGTATGTTTTTGAATGTATCATGGGGCGTGGGGGACTTCAGACTGCTCCTGAGGCCCACATCCTCTCCAGTCTTAATCCCACATTGGGCCTTTGACTTGCTATTTACTCATGGTACTAATGTGTTGTGGACTCGAGAAGGAATTTTTTATAATTTCCAAATAATAAAAATAGGTGCTTTCAGTGCTAGGCTTCACCTGCTCCCACCTGCTCCCACCTCTCCCACCTGCTTCTTTGTCTCCTCATCCTTAGTACTTTCTCCAAAGCCTTCTACACACACATATGCACATTAAAAAAAAACAAAATAATAAAATAAAGTTTTTAAAAATTGTATGAATGTGTTAAATTCATCCCTGAGAATTAGTAACTTTGCAATGTGTTTACATATGTATACAAAAATTGTGTCAGCTGTATCTGCATGTGTGGAAGAATGTAGAAAAAATTAGAACAAATATACATAACACAGACACTGTCTAATGCCTATCTCTGTGATAATGGTCACTTTGCTAATTTGTAAAAAATACCCACAACAGATAGGTTATTGCTGGTTCAAATCTGGCTCAATTCCAACTAGTAGAAGAGTTAGCTCCCAAATTTTGTCTCAATCACAAATTTCTTGGCTGAAGACCTATGTAAGTCTTAGAAGAAAATTTCTAACTAAAAGCTTAAAGAATATAAGCAGAGGTTACATGAGGGAGATGGACACTGAATTTTTCTTCTTGAACAATGGGATTTGGTAATAATAAAAAAAAAATTTGGATGGAAAAATGATGCCAGTGAATCCAGCAAAGAGAGACATGCTGCTTTAAGTATGCAGCACCATTAGGTAACTCTGTTCAGGATGAAGTCTTCCTGAAAAATCAAATCAAAGAATTTAATAGTGAAGTTGTCCACTGGCCTAAGGAAAGAAGCAATAGAAATTGGGTTTTGCCTTATTTGCAAACTAGGAAAAATTGCATTGCTCTGTGTGATTAGTTGCAATCTTGCAAAATGGCAAGCTAAGTTGTTTTATTGTTTCATCCCTGTAATTAATGAACAGAAATCAGTATCCTTTACTGAGCACCGTGTACTGAGCCTTATATGTTCCACATACATTCTGTCATTTGGTTCTTATAACAACAGTGGGTGTTGTCATTATCATCCTCATTTTCTGGATGAAAAAGCTGAAGCTTAGTGAAGTAATTTTGCTGATGTCAGAAAGTTGGTAAGTGACAAAACTCATTTTCAATCCAAGTCTCTTAATTTCAAGTTTCATCTGAGTCAGTCACACAACCCAACATTGGCAATTCTTTTAACCATTCTGCCTGTGACTTTATTTCATCTGACCTATGCAGTGGCATCTCAGAGATTTTTAATCTCCCTAATAGCTTTCCGTCAGACACTTTAAAATTTGGAGAGTATGGTGGTGGTGGAGGTAAAAGACAGTTGGAAAATTGTGCACCATAATTACGTTTAGCCAGCTAATCATCACTTCCAAAGTAGGGTAAACAGGTGATCACCACATATTCTGAAGCCCACAGCCCAAAGGAAACCAGGCTAAGCCCTTACCCAAGAAACCTTTTGACTTCCCTTCTTTGTCCATTTAATTACCTTCAGGGTGTGCACCTAGTTTTTTATTTCTTACCTATTTTCCCCCTCTCCCACCTGCTTCTTTGTCTCCTCGTCCTTAATACTTTCTCCAAAGCCTTCTATACACACATATGTACATTAAATAAAAACCAAAATAATAAAATAAAGCTTTTAAAATTGTATGGATGAATGTGTTAAATCTAGTAGCATTCCCAGTTCTCCACTTTTAATCATGTAGTTTTTGTATTTGTTAGGAAAATAAAATCAGTGTATTGCTTTTCCTTCTTCCCTGTGTTGAACACAATTGAACTTTTCCTCCTTACAGCCACCGAAGAAAAAGATGCCTATTCATGGTGACAAAATTATTCAAATAAATTGCTTTAAAGGACAGCTTAACAACCAGAATTCAACAATTGACAAGTTCATCTACTAAGTTCATCCTTATCAAAACCCAGAATATAAACAAAAATAAATCTAAATTCCAATATAGTGAAACTTTTGTTCTTTATGCATCGAAGTACTCCTGCCCTTATTTAGCTCTTCTTCTAACCTTATATATTCTTCTAATGAGTTTGGAATTTGGCTATGTCATTTCTCAGGCCCCTGAAGACTACAGCATC